GCACAGATGAATAATTGAATAAAGCACATTACCTTCGTTCGACGGACGGCGACCACCGGGAAGATTAATGGCAAGTTTCGCCATGGTTAAATCGTCGAAATGTAAAACGTCGATGCCATTACACAATAGACTTTTTGTGTCCCGTTGGTAAAGCTGGTTTAACATAACTGTTTACGACTTTTTGCAATCAGGGTGGATAGCGTTGATTTTGCGGAATCGGTTCATCATGAATGCAGATGTTTGTGAATTCCATCGCCGATACAAAATTGAAAATTTTCCCCTTCATCATTGGTGGGGGTGCTTGAGGTGCTATGAACTTCCTGGAGCTCTTTTTGTACCCCCTGAGAATGAACCTGACAGAAGGAAGCTAGGTGCAGATAAGTGTCGGCTTTTAGTAAATTACATTATGATATATCATATATATATATATATATATATATATATATATATATATATATATATATATATATATATATATATATATATATATCATATAGATTGAATATCCAGATTCAGTGACATTTTTTTGATTGGGGTCGTTTCACCATTTGATCGTCAGATCACAAGTCGTTTTTGGTACTTGGGTATTTTATTGTATTCTTACTATTAGGGTAAACGCTCCTATAGTAGCGGTACGTTAGAAGCGTTAGGTTCCTATAGTTGTGTATGGAGACTCAATACACAACTATAGGAACCTAACGCTTCTAACGTACCGCAACTATAGGAGCGTTTACCCTACCATAAATAAATTGGCAGAATGGGGTGCATCATTCGAGTACTTTTGGGACGAACTCCTACCTGAGATTTTAAGAAAATATACTAAATATACTAAGCAGCATGATTTCAATACTACCCATCTATCAAATCTCATAAAATACGTAAGATGTAGCTGTATTAGTTTTTCATGATTTGTTATATTCTCGATAACACCAATACCACCAAAATGGAAAACAAATACAAGCAAGTGATTGATTGATTGACATTTGAGCCTTAAGTTTGAGTAATTTAATATCTGGACGCACTCTTTATTTAAGTGCAGTGCTCCTAGCGGTCAGATCTGGAATGCTTTGACAGCAGTTTGTTTTAAAATGTTTCCTCTTTCAGTGCTGACAAGTTCGTCACGATTCATTTTAATTAATAGAAGTTGTACTTAATGGAAGCCGCGAACCGAAAATTAATTTTGGACACCCACTTGTAAAATCCGATGTGGTCAGGTTCAAAAATCGAGAAGGCAGGATCATAGCAAGCGTGGTAGTGAAACTAAGGATCGTAAGCTGCATTTGAAGGTGTTGAGAACGGTTAGGGCAACCCAGGGTTGTCGGATTATGATATCGTGCACTATTCTAATAGCGAATTTGTTTATTATTCAGTTCCAACCTGGATCGGATATCAAGATCGGGTCTGCTTGTTTTCTGACAAACGTCAATTTGATCGTGTTTCTACGTGAGCTACAGATTCGTGTTTCTGCTGTGCACATAAGCTCATCGAACACTATTGCGTGCGCCTGCTGCCAGCAGCACCATTTGCTGTTTCAGTGCGACAAATTCCAGTCCCTCACTCCTCACGAACGATTCGATCTCATCAAAAGGAACGGCCTCTGCATCAACTGCATGAAAGGGGCCCATCTAGCGAAGGACTGTACCAGTGGCGGATGCAAAACCTGCGCGAAAAAACACCATACGATGTTGCATTTATCACCTTCGGCCACAATGGGCAACCGTCTACAACAGCCGGTACAACTAAGTTCCTTTGCTGAATCGAATAGTTTGCAAAATCAACAGCCGCAATTCGTTTCGGTACAAAGCTCTCGGTCGGTTGAGTTTTTGAACACCTCACCAGTCGCGTCGTCGTTCCGCGAATTGTCGTCCGCTTTCGGTTACGAACCTCCCTCGTCGTCTGTAGCCTCGTTCGATTCAAATTTACCTCCTAATAATGCCTGTCAAAGTGCTGAAGTGATCCACAAACAGAACACAAATGCCGTGCTGCTTTCTACTGCCGTGATCAAGCTTCTGAATGGGGACAATAAGTACCAGTACGCTCGTGCGCTCTTGGATAGTGGATCCCAGCCCAGCTTCATCTCCGAAGCACTGTGTCAAAGGCTCAACTTGAAGCGAACAAAGCTCAATTCTCCAGTCAGCGGTATCGGACAGTCTATGGTTAACGTATTCGTATGTCGATTGCCTCTCGCTTTGGTGCTTTCACATCCAATCTTGACTGCTTGGTTTTACCGAAGCTCACCGTTGCACTACCCAGTTTCAGCATTGACGTAACACGCTGGCGGATTCCAAGGCATCTTCCACTTGCCGATCCGCAGTTCAACATTAGCCAAGGGGTTGATGTCATCATCGGCGCTGAGCTTTTCTACTTGCTTCTGGAAAACCAGCAGATCATTCTCGATACTGGCTATCCAATCCTCCAAAAAACCGTTCTTGGTTTCGTCGTCTGTGGCAAAGTCACGGAACAAGCTACCACAGAGGTAGTTGTGCAGTCTAGTCATCTCTGCACCGACGAGTCGCTCGATTCCCAGTTGGAAAGGTTCTGGGAGATTGAGAATCTTGATAGCGAGAAGGCATTCACTCTAGACGAGCAGTTCTGTGAGAAACATTTCCAGCAATCCATTTCGAGAGACGAGAATGGCCGATACGTCGTTCGTCTTCCGTTGCGGGAAGAATTGGTTTCGCTAATTGGGGACTCGTATACTCCTGCACTTTGTCGACTGCTGTCGATGGAGAAGAAGTTCGCCGTTGACGAAAACTTTCATGAAGAATACAGTAACGTTATGGAGGAGTACCAGAAGTTGGGCCACATGGAGGTAAATTCGCGCGCGTTATCCGGCCCACAGTTTTTCCTCCCCCACCACGCCATACATCGCCCAGAGAGCACAACAACAAAGACTCGAGTTGTATTCGATGGATCCAGCCATGGTGCTAACGGCTTGTCGATAAACGAAGTCATGTACATTGGACCCACAGTGCAGCCACCGCTGCAAGCAACCGTCATCAATTTTCGGATGCCACGCTTTGCCTTTACTGCTGATGCACAGAAGATGTTCCAGCAGATCTGGGTACATCCGGATGACCGCAGATACCAGCAAACTCTGTGGAGGAACGATCCATCCGAGCCAATTCGTGTTTACCAGATAAAGACGGTTATGTACGGACTGTCCAGCTCACTGTACTTAGCGACTCGAGTACTCAATCAATTGGCAACTGATGACGGAGAACACTATCCTCTCGCAGTGTCAGTCATTCGGAAGGCAACCTACGTCGACGACGTATTGACTGGGCACGACGATCTACACACCCTTCAGGAAACTTGTGGCCAGCTTATCGAAAATGGGCGGCCAACGATAGTACGGCACTAGAGAACGTTCCTCCTGAGTTATGGGAAACCTCCAGAAAGTTAGAAATCAATCGTTCGACTGCCGTAAAGACGCTAGGCCTTCTGTGGTTTCCTGAATCCGACCAGCTCATGTTCAAGATACCAGCCCTTCTTGAGCACGCCGTCATCACCAAGAGGGTAGTTGTGTCCGAGATGTCCCGCTTGTTTGACCCCATCGGTCTGCTCGGGCCTGTCGTACTGTGTGCCAAAATGTTTGTGCAAACTCTCTGGGCGGAACACTTGCCATGGGATACGGAGCTCTCTACCGAATTGCAAGAATGGTGGATGACTTATCGAACTGACATTCAGCAGCTATCGATCCTACAAGTTCCGAGAACGATTCTTGCAAACACTTCTCATCAATATTATCTTCACTGCTTCTGTGACGCTTCCACGAAAGGTTACGGGTGCTGTGTCTACGTCGTTTCGCCAGACGAAACGGGAGAGCTCCATAGTCACATTCTTACCTCGAAATCTCGTGTTGCACCACTGCGTGGACAATCCATTCCAAGGCTGGAACTTTGTGCTGCGCTACTTGGATGTCAGCTCGTGGACACTTTGCATAGAACTACCGAATTCACAGCGCCAGCGACAATGTGGACCGACAGCACAATCGTTCTACACTGGCTGAAGTCGAGATCCAACATCTGGAAAGTTTTCATTTCCAATCGGGTGGCTGAGGTTCAACGACTTACAAAAGCATTCGAGTGGAGACATGTTTCCACGGACTTAAACCCAACCAACCGTCAACGAGGAGGCTCGTCGTGCCGTCGCATTACATATCAGCACAGTAGATCAAGAGCTCTTTGACCGATATTCAGAGCTCGCCAAACTGCTGAAAGGTATTGCCTACTGCTACAGGTTTTACCACAACTGCAAGCTGCCAAAGGAGCAGCGCTCAACTGGATCACTGTCGCCTGATGAATGTGATCATGCGCTGAAAGTTTTAGCTCGTCTCGCTCAACGTTCCTCCTTCTCGGCAGAGGTCTAGAGGTACACCCTCCAGAAGAATTTCCCGACGCCACCGAATCTTGGACCAAAGTCCCCTCTTAGAAATATGAACCTTTTCATGGACGAATTCGGGTTGCTACGAATCGATGGTCGTTTACGCTACTCGAACGCACCATTTGACACCAGATTTCCGATCTTGCTACCGTCCGACCACAAACTGAGCTTAATGGTCGTGCGAGCAATACACCTCAAAGCATTGCACGGTGGACCTTCACTTCTGCTTGCTACGGTACGTCAACGATTCTGGCCACTCCGGGGTCGTGATCTAGCTCGTGCAGTAGTTCGTCAATGCGTCACTTGCTTTCGGTGTCAACCTAAGCTGTCAACTCAAATCATGGCACCGTTACCAGAAGTGCGGACTACACCAGCACGACCGTTCTTGTATTCGGGAATGGATTACTGTGGGCCGTTTCTCGTTCGTCCGCTGAATGGGAGGGGCGCGTCGGTAAAAATGTACGTTTCGTTTTTCGTCTGTCTGGTGGTGAAGGCCGTGCACATCGAAATCGTTGCCGATTTATCCGCCGCGTCCTGTATCAACGCCGTGAAGCGGATCGTCGCGCGTCGCGGACGTATAGTGGAGCTACATTGCGATACTGCGACCGCTTTTGTCGGGGCGGATCGTGAGCTCATCGCGTCGTGTAAAGAGTTCCTGCAGCAGTTCAAGGGTGACGAATGGTGAAACCATTGCTTGGACAACGGGATCAAGTTCCGGTTTATCCCCGCCCGCTCGCCACACTTCGGTGGTATTTGGGAGGCGGGAATCAAATCATTCAAATACCATTTCCGTCGCATCATGGGACTGAAAGCATTCTCGGTGGATCAGTTCCACACCGTCGTCACGCAAGTTGAAGCAGTGCTCAATTCCCACCCCCTGTCGCCGCTCACCGATTCTCCCGATGATTTGGCGGTTCTGACGCGAGGACATTTCCTGGTCGGGGAACCACTCGTCGCAATCCCGGAACCAGATCTGAGCCACATCAATCCTGGACGGCTCAGTCGCCTACAGGATATGAAGAAAACGCTGCAGGACCTTTGGACTCACGTGACTATGTGAGCCAGCTTCACCAACGGACGAAGTGGAGGAAGCAACACACCGATCTACAACCAGGTCAACTAGTCCTTCTGAAGGAGAATACGCCACCGCTCCACTGGCCTTTGGGGCGTATCGTCGAGACCATTCCGGGCAAGGACGGCCGAATTCGAGTGGTCGTCGTGAAAACTACTGGCGGCCGCTACAAGCGAACCGTGACTGAAGTGTCGGTTCTTCCAACCGATCAGGACGAAGAAGCTACAACAAAGGACCAAGATGCCTGTTGAAACTGGACGTTGTCAACGGGGGCCGGCATGTTGCCGCAAGTGAAATCAATTAAATAAAGTGTAGTACCTAAATGTTCAACCTTACCTTCAACAAACCATACTTACCATACTTATACTGTTTAACACATACACTTAATAGCACTCACTCTCAATGATACACGCAATCTCGCTCATGCACACAAGACGTGTAACCGATAGGTGAAATACAGTCAGTTGATAAGTGACCAGCAAATCGATAACATGTTTCTGTGCTAGTCGAGTCACCCGGGTCAATGTTGGGTCAAAATCGGTTTGGGGTTTGGTAGAAGTCAGGTTGGTGTCGGGTTGGCTTAGCTTTTTCGCCGGAATGTCGACCAGAGCTCAATTGAATGATATCAAGCGTTTCTCAAATGAGAATGATCCATGCCTTCGTCAAATGACTAAGCAACTGATGTCACCCATTCAAAGGAGGTCCCCTGTGATAGCGGATAGCTGCTTTTCACATTTTCATCAAAAATGTTCAATTGATTTTGAGAATTTACAGCACCGCCAAGGAGGTTACCGTTCACCCCACCTAGTACAACCAGAATGCTCGAAGACTACGGACCAAGGTAGATTCGTCGCCAAATCAAGTCACGATTGCTATAAGCGATTCTCCAATAGATGCATTTGAGCTCCGTCCGTTTCACATCAGTGAACATACCGTCAATCTAGCTCTTCAAAGGTTGAAACTCTCGTTTGCTGCCGGGCCAGACGGCATTCCAGCGTCCGTTCTGAAGCTGTGATCGGAGTCGTTGCTCACTTCCTTGGTGAATTTATTTAATCTGTCTGTGAATTTATTTAATCTGTATATGTTCCCCGTCCACAAGATAGGCGATAATAGGAATGTCCAAAATTACAGAGGCATCACATCACTATGTTGTTGCTCCAAAGTATTCAAGATCATCATCAATGAAGCGCTCTTCAGCTCTTGTAAAAATTTTATCTCCACGGCTCAGCATTGATTCTACCCAAAACCGAATTCTTGTCTCTCTGCGTTCGGAAAATGGACTCTGATGGACAAATCGACGCTGTTTACACTAATCACAAGGCTGTATTTGTCCTAGTAGACCTCAACATTCTTTTGAGCAAGCTTGAGAAACTCGGAGGGTCTGGATCCTTCATCTCGTGGTTAAAATCTAAGGTAAACGCTTTGCGTTAAGATTGGACCCAAGCAATCAAAAGTTCTGCATTCAACGATTAAAATCACTTCAAAGTTCCATAAAGTTCAAATAAAGTTCCGACAGAACTTTCAAGTTCTATAATGTTCGAATGAAGTTCTGACAGAACTTTCAAGTTCCATAAAGTTCAAATAAAGTTCCGTCAGAACTTTCAAGTTCCATAAAGTTCGAATAAAGTTCTGGCAGAACTTTCAAGTTCCATAGAGTTCAAATAAAGTTCCGACAGAACTTTCAAGCCACATGAAGCAATCCACACAAGTGTTTATTATTAACAAAATTAAATATACGTAAATATGAAATGATCAGTTTCTCGAAAAAATCATCAACATTCTATCCAAACATAAATAAAATTAAAGAGTAATTTCCTGGATTCGAACCCGAGTATACGGCATGCGATCTATGATTGCTAACTACTGCGCCACAAGTGTGTTGGAATACATTGCAGGCAAATACAAATTTAAAGTTCTTCAAAGTGTTGTGTTTCGTATTTAATTCAGTCAGCTAGCACTGGAAACACCAACAGTAGGCGGGACAACAGCTCACTTTAATATATCTCAAATGACGTAGCGGTTCGTGCTGGAGTTCTCACGCAGAAGGACTGGGACAATCCTTCAAATAGCTCCAATTCTACTACTAATGCTGATAAATCAATACACATTAATACCTGCCTTTAGAAATAACTTTCATAAAAGTTCGAACTTAAATATAGAATTGGTGTAGAGGACAAAACCTTTTTAAATTTATTTTCTAAAAGTTCCGTTCAAGTTCCACCAGAAGCTGCTTGGAATGCTCTTCAATTATGGTACCGGAATTTTCAAGTTCTTATAACGATTTAAAAATGAGGCTGCTTAGATTTCTATAGACCGCCTTCAACCAAGCTGCTTTAGCCACAAATAGCCTTTTATTAGAACTTTTTTTTACTTGGGGAGCTTCTCGTTCTGAAGTGTTCACGAACGTTTCCGGCGTTCCCCAAGGAAGTAATCTGGGACCTCTTCTGTTTTCGCTTTTCGTCAACGAGCTTTTGTGTCTACTGCCATCTGGATGCCGGCAGTTCTACGCTGACGATGTCAAAATGTATGTGGTTATTAATTGCATCGCCGATTGTGCGTCAACAAGTGCAATGTTTTGTTGTTGGTGTAGTACCCGAAGGATAATTTTTATTCAAGCATATTAACACTTCAAGCATCAAACCAAAATCCTATTTTTCAATAATTGATAAATGAAAATGACATTGTTCAGATTGAAGATGTTAATATTAAGTAAAATATTAAGGCAATTGATACAAACACTTCTTTTTCCAAGGGCAAGGAGATCATATAAATATCTTTCAAATGTTTATGAATTACAAAGGCAGATAACTAAAATATTAAAAATATGACTAAAGGGAAATGGGAAACATGAATAATATTATCAAAATCTCACAATAGAGCACTGTGAGTGTTAAAAATTTCAATTT